TTCAAGAAAAAAAAATTCATAATTTACACTAACGGATGACAAATGAAAGAATTAAAAAATGTTAAATTTAGGTGTGAAATTAGTTTTGCAGAGCTGTGTAAATAGTTTATTTTGATGGTGAAGGTGATCAGTGTCCCTACTTGTTAAACTTCACAATGTATTTTTTCTCAGAAATGTGACATAATAACCTGTGAAATGTGTAATTGCCGCATACATGAGAAGACAAAATATTTGGATAACACATTGGTATGTAATGAAGCCAACTCAGTTTTAAAAAAAAACAATTATGCAAGATTTTACATTCACTAGAATGGTTATTGAAGATTATAGAAGAAAATCCTACAATTATCGAAGATTTTAAATACGCTAGAATGCTTAACCAATGTCAATTTTAAGTAAAAAAAAAAAATCATAATTTACAGTAACAGATGACAAATGAAAGAATTAAAAAATGTTAAATTTAGGTGTGAAATTAATTTTGCAGAGGTGTGAAATTAGTTTTACAGAACTGTGTGAATAGCTTATTTTGATGGTGAATGTGATCAGTGTTCTTACTTATTAAACTTCACAATATTTTTTTCCTCATAAATATCACATAATAACCTGTGAAATGCGTAATTGCCGCATACATGAGAAGACAAAATATTTGGATAACACATTGGTACCTAATGAAGCCAACTCAGTTAAAAAAAAAATAATTATAGAAGATTTTACATTCACTAGAATGGTTATTGAAGATTATAGAAGAAAATCCTACAATTATCCAATATTTCAAATACACTATAATGCTTAACCAATGTCAATTTCAAGTAAATAAATATTATAATTTACACTAACGGATGACAAATGAAAGAATTAAAAAATGTTAAATTTAGGTGTGAAATTAGTTTTGCAGAGGTGTGAAATTAGTTTTGTAGAACTGTGTGAATAGCTTATTTTGATGGTGAAGGTGATCAGTGCCCCTACTTATTAAACTTCACAATGTATTTTTTTTCAAAAATGTGACATAATAACCTGTGAAATGTGTAATTGCCGCATACATGAGAAGACAAAATATTTGGATAACACATTGGTACGTAATGAAGCCAACTCAGTTAAAAAAAAAAACAATTACGGAAGATTTTACATTCACTAGAATTGTTATTGAAGATTATTGAAGAAAATCTTACAATTACGCTAGATTTCAAATACGCTAGAATGCTTAACCAATGTCAATTTCAAGTTAAATTTAGGCGTGATATTAGTTTTGCAGAGGTGTGAAATTAGTTTAGTAGAAATGTGTAAATAGCTTATTTTGATGGTGAAGGTAATCAGTGTCCCTACTTATTAAACTTCACAATGTATTTTTTCTCATAAATGTCACATAATAACCTGTGAAATGTGTAATTGCCACATACATGAGAAGAAAAAATATTTGGATAACAAATTGGTACCTAATGAAGCCAATTCAGTTAAAAAAAACAATTATGTAAGATTTTACATTCACTAGAATGGTTATTGAAGATTATAGAAAAAAATCCTACAATTATCCAACATTTCAAATATGCTAGAATGCTTAACCAATATCAATTTCAAGTAGAAAAATATCATAATTTACACTAACAGATGACAAATGAAATAATTAAAAAATGTTAAATTTATGTGTCAAATTAGTTTTACAGAGGTGTGAAATTAGTTTTACAGAACTGTGTCAATAGTTTATTTTGATGGTGAAGGTGATCAGAGTTCCTGTGATCAGAATTTTTAGAGCCGGCTCCTTGCCAAGCAAAAAAAAATAATAATAAAAGAAAAAAAAAATAATGGACAGCCGGCTCAAGAAGAAATGTGGAGACGACTCAACCCAAATTTTTGGAGACGGCTCAATTAATTTGTAGAGCCGGCTCTTTTGGGCTTTTTCAGAGATGCCGAGAGATGGATGCTTAACGGAAAGTAGATTTTACGGAATAATGTGTTTTGCACCATTTTAGTGAAGCCCACAGACATATTATAAACTGAAGCACACGTGGCCAAACTAAGGCATTTCATCAGCTCACAGCAGAGGACTGCAGGGTAACTTACAGCAAGAAATTTGAGCCCCATGATTGAATAGGTTTGTCATCAATTAATCCAAGCTTCTCTACAAATATCTAAGAACAGAGTGATTAAATAATCTAAATCCAGGGACTGAATAAATGATCTGTCAGACAATGAAATGGGTCTTTTTAGTTGCCCCAAAATTGGGTTTGAGCAAGGTTACAGAGTGTAGAGGGATCCAGTGAGAAGATAAACAAAACAAAAAAAAAGTCAGCAGCATAGGCCGATGACACGTGTGTCCTGAACTGTGGTATATAGTCTTTGTAATCAAACATGTGGTATATAATATTGGTAGCCAAACATGACTCTTGACAATTTAGGCAATATAATTTAATATTTTTTTGTTGATACCAGCAAAAATTGTCTTTCACCAAATTAGGAGTAAAAATGTCTTTTCTCGTATTTTTAACGGGTGACAGAAAAGTAAAAATAGACATAAGTGATATTTATTTTTGAAAGATATTTGAGAGTGATATTTGATCAAACTTAAAAGGATATCAATAATATTATCCCTAAAAAAAAAAATAAATAAATAAAAATAAAATGAGTAACAGAACCCTCTCTTAAACATCTTGTGAAGCTAGAACCAAGTCTGCGAAAAGGGAGAAGGATGGATTAAGCGGTACACTCGCAAAATAACATTTTTTCTTGGAAGCATACGCTGCACTTCTTCTTATCTACATGATAAACTCTAGTTATCAATTTTTTTTTCTTTTTGTTTTGTTTTGTCGGCTTTTGTTATCAATTAATTAGCTTTACAGCTAACTTGCACTTCAGTCGTGGATAAAAAGATCAATGGCATATAAGTCTTGTTTATGCATCTCGTGCTTCCAATAATTCCCTCGTATTTGACTTCCCGCAAAGTTTGTTCCCTATCAAGCAACTTTAATTTGCAGATTGGTCACTGAATTTGGTTAGAATTTTGTATCCTAGTAGGTAACAAGCAAGATAGTTCTATTTTGGTGAATTGTGAAATAAAGAAAATTAATGATAACCGTTAACTACTAATAGCCTTTAAGTTGTCTTCAGTAGGTTTGGAATGGGAGAACCACAGTGAGTTTGATCACTTTTTTGAAAAGAGAATATTGTAGATGCCTGCGCATTCACTTTTGATAATTTAGGAAGTAAGGATATTTTTACGAAAGAATTGTGTCGGTGACACACCTTGAATACGTAAATTTTATTATTTTTGAACATTTCGTCGATATTTTTTAGACACTTTACCAACACTTTTCAAATATTTCGCCGACACTTCTCCAATATTTCTAACACAAGTCTACCCAGTAATTTTGAAAATAGTATGAGTACTATCATGACAAAGTAGTGAAATAATGGTATATATAATATAAAAATTATTACAATAATGACATAATTTCATTTTTTAATTCATTTCAGAGCAACTCCTAATATAGAAATTATAAATGAATTAAAATTTTATAATACTATTACTGAATAAATATATAATAATAAAAATTTATATTATTATGTAGTTGTATTCATGCCATAACCGTGTCTTACTTTTTAAAATTTTGACCTTACTTATCCATGTTCGTGCTATATAATTGATAATAGTTAGTAGGTTAGTAATTAGGGAGAGAAGAATCAAACTCTAAACTTATAAAGTAGGAATACTAAAAACCTAATCCTTAACTACTGGAATATTCGAATAACACCGCTACACCTAAATTTATGTAATAAATGTGATTCCTTAAGTTTGGTGAGCACTGGTTCACATCTAAAACTTGCTTTGTAGAACTTGGTAAGGTTGGTGGGACAATTTTAACCCAAAAAAAAAAAAAAAAAAAAAAAAAAAAAGGTAGGTGGGACAAGATAATATAGGAGACAGTCATGCCTCCCAGTCAATGACCCTAACCTTATCTTTGTTATTCTAAGACTAGAAGAACCTTTTTATCACAAAATCTTAACAAAAGATTCTTGCAATAGAAAATGAATATATGGTTTATGTGGGTTGAGATAGTGACTAGGATATGGATGGCCTCAATTCTATTGAGCTTATCCTTTTCAACTAGTACACATAAATTGCAAAATCAATGAAATTGAAAGCACATGAGAGGATAATGTGGAATCTCAAGATAAGGCAGAGAAAGCAAATAAAAAACATAATGAATTGTGAAATCAAAAGGAGTCTAACTATGATAACAGACAAGTTCATGGATTTCCATCCAACCCACTGTCACGGGTAAACATTTGTCATAAAAATAATTGAAGTAAAGTCATATAGTTTCTGATAATTACACTAATTATCTTCAAGTTTTTTTTTACTTAGACCATAGATCATATTTAATAACAATAAGGACAATTTAAGTAAACTATTAGATTTTATTATTACTATTATTATTATTTAACTTTGATAATTTTTAAAGCATGAAATGGTAATTTCTCACAAATTTTTTCAAAACTTTCATACTAACGAAATGAATAATAAAAAATTAATTTCTCATTCTTTCCCTTCCAATCTTTCTTATTAGTTTCCATCTAGTCAAACGACCCTTTAAGTTCAAGTTTTCCACTTGTAAAAGACAAATTCTACTAGCGCTAATATGATTGTAATTCAGATATTTCTTTTATGATTGTAATTTAGGTATTTCTTTTATCTTTTAAAGTGAGGAGTGTATGTTTTGTGTTTGAGAAAAAATAAATAAGGCAAAATTAATTTGCTTATGTTATCACATGAAAATTTTACAATGTTGTGGACTTGGGTGGGAGGTTAATGCAATTTGCCCATAATTTTTATTTTTAACAGAATTTGCCCATAATTTTCCCATATTTTGTATTATTTGATGTTACAACTTTGTCTAGAAATCATGGATATATTCCATGTTTCCACCTGTCATGAAAGAAACTTTAACCTAATCCATATGCGCACATGCATGTACACAAATATTATATATATATATATGTATGCTCCCTCAGAATGGTCCCCCGGGTATGTCTGTGTTATTCTTGATAGAAGAAAGTCATAGGCTTATTCTTAATTCTTTCTAGCTATTGGACACCATCAACAGTGGGCGAAGGAAAAAGGCAAATGCTTCAAGGTCGACCATGCAGTCCATATGGTGGAGATGATCAGAAAGATGATGATCATCAATGGGATATCATGGAAGGTAATGATCATGAAGATGATGATGATAGGTACAATATTACATCATCGACATCTTCACTTGAAGATTCAATGGTTTCAAATGGATCAGCTTCTTCTTCAACAGACATGGCAGATGATGCATCTTCCTCAACTTCATATTCATCATCTTTGCAATCCAGTACTGGATCTTTGTATGATTTATCAGAGCTCATGGCCCAACTGCCCATCAAGTAAGAAACTTTAATTGGTCTTTTTGGAAGAATTAATTAGTGTCAATATCCATGGCAAACCCAAAAGAATCTATGATAAATTTGTGTGTGTCTACATATAAATGTGGTAAACTATTTAATACATATATATATGTGTGTGTAAAAAAATTATATTAATTAGTGATCATCTATCTGGGAAGTATTACTATCATCTATGGCAAACTTAAAACTATTGGATTTTGTGATTTCGTTCTAATTAAATTTAAATAATATGTGTGGTTATTTGATATTTACCTTGCAACTTCATGAGGTTAAAGGGTTTCGTTTTTTAAAATAAAAAATAAAAAATTTCCTCTTTCTTAAATTATTGTAATGTCAATCAGCCTAGCATGAACTTAGGTGGGTATTTAGAGATCCATATATAGTACTTAATTGGTTTGAAGAGAATTGGAAAATAATTAGAATTATATATAAGAGCTTTTAATTTCTTTTCTTTTCTTTCTTTTTTTTATTATTGTTTTGGTGAAGTTAATATTAATTATCGGCTTAAGTCTCCATGTAGTTTCTTGCATACAGAACTTTAATTTCCATCGCCTACCTAAATAAATGGTCGGAATTAATTTATGCAGAAGAGGGCTTTCAAAGTTTTATCAAGGCAAGTCTCAATCTTTTACACTCCTGTCTAGAGTTGGAAGCATAGAAGATGTTGCAAAGAAAGAAAGTCCTGCTGCTTATAGAAGGAAAATGAAAGCATGCAAAAGCCATGGAGGTGGATTAGATTCCTACAAATCATTAACTCTTCCTAAACCTAAACCCGTCATATCAAAGAAAGTTTCCTCAAGGCCTTCACTCCTGTCTTCATCTTTTCCAACCAGAAGATCACCAAGTTTTATTGCCACCAGTTGCAGGCCTCCTTTGAGTCCTAGACAAAAAAAACTTTAGATCTTAACCGATCCCAAGTTGCATGCCTTTAATTTGTTTAGTACAATATATATTAATATATATTATAGTGTAAAGAATTAACTAATTGTGAGAATAAAATGTTGTAAATATACTACTTCTATTAGAGAGAGAGAGATGATGTTATTGTTGTTTATAGCAAATTCTGTTGTTAAGTACTACTACTACTTTTTAAAAACACCACCTCCTGCTCATTTTGTTTGGAGAAGAGGAAAACCATGAATTTTTTGAGGTTAGAGAGTTTAATTTCTTCCTTATCTAAACTTTTATTCAAAGTTTGTTTGAGAAGTGAAAAATGTTGGATTCTGTTGTGATGCTTAATGTGCTACTGGGTGGAGTTGGACACATGTATAACTTTTGTGATACAGGGACTTCATGGAAAAATTAATAAATGTCCAAAGTTTGGATTGAGATATTGTTCTTTCCTCCCAGCAACTACATAGCCCCCACTCATTTTCTTTTTAGTTTTCTACACGTGGTTTACAATAATTATACAAGGTACGTTATCCCTCTTTCTTTCTGTTTTTTCGGTGGTCGTGCCCCACTTTTTTCTTTCTTTATTTTCAAAGTTGTCTAAATAAATTTGTGGATATGGGTGCAATTGTAACTCAGGGCGAGTTGGAGGCTAACTCTTAGATATGAAATTTTTAATCCAACTTAAGCATCAATTCAAGCCTAACTCATTTTAGTTATTAAAGTTAATTTGAGTTGAATTTGTGATTACAAATCAGGTTGAAATTTTGAGTTGATTTCGTATTGATATTTTCTCCAAGAATTTGGATTGTTGTAATAACAAAAGAAATAATCTTAAACTTTTCCCCAACAAAAATAATTGAAGATAAAATATGTTGGAAGATAAAATATTTTGGAAGATAAAATAATTGAAGAAATTATCATGACATATATATATATATATATTCATAGCAAAAATCATCTTCACACACCCATTTTACTCTTAAAGGGTTTGAGCTCCCATTTAGGAGGTAAGAAACTACCACTAAGTTACAGCCTTTTGTGATCGACAAAATAACAAAGGGATCAAAAGCTAAAAAGTTCAATGTCATAAGTGTTAGTACACCTCACTAAATAACCAATCATATGCAATCAACACAAGTGTGTGTGTGTATGTGGGGTTCAATGTTCGAGTTGATTGGGTTTTATAATTCGACTCGAGCTCGAGTTGCCCAACACAATAACGCAAGTCCAGACCGAATTGCAATTTCCAAAGGCCAAGTACAAAAAAATTTGGACTGGACTTGGGTTGGACCCACCCAAGTTACAATCCTGTTTGTTGAGCAGGAGATACATGTAAAAAGGGAAAGCTAACTTCTCTTCATCTACTAAGGAAATAAACTTGTTCAAGCATTGAAAAAAAATGTTACATTATTGTTTACAAGGATACTCATGTAATTTTATTAATCCACTGTCCTAGTGTTCTCTCATTAATAGGAATTTTGATGAGTAATGTGTGATACCCCCTAATTTCGGAATACGAATTGATCAAGTCCGCGCACAAAATCAGGGGATATCAAAATAATTAAAGTATTTAAACAAGCACAGATTACAAAATGAAATAAAGAATAAAATAAAACGCTGAAGAAATCTAATTAATAATAAATCCATTAATAACTTTCAAATGGTTACAAATCAGAAATCCCGTAACTGAAGGACCCCTTAACCAAAAGTTACTATTTAGAATTCCAACAAAATAAATCCTAATAACAACTAAAACAATAATAATATCCTACTTTTAAATAAACAAAAGGAATGAATAAGTCCACCAGCTGCGGATCCTCAACCTTGAGACTTGACCTTCTAACAACCTGAAAAAAATAAATCGCAGGTTAAACCCTACGAACAAATTCTCTCTACCAAGCCTCTGAAAGCCAATAAACAGATCACCTTTACCAAAACCATCCCTAATAAACTTTTAACTTTAATATACGATACTACAAATATATATATAGTAAAATAATCCTATCTGTTAATAGGGCATTAAATTGTCAAAAAACCACTCACCAATGATTAATTATCAGTCATACCTAGACCAAGCCCCCCCTTTATAATTTTCTCATAAAGTAAACTCCACTCACCTTAACTCCATCCTAAACAGTAATTTAGTCATTTAAACAATAACTTACAATATAAGAAAAAAAAATCCAATAAATCCAAAATCCAATAATACTTTTGATCATTTAAATTACATATAAAAAATTTAAGCTTTGACAAATCATCCATGTCTCCACCACTATTATTTTATTAACATATATAAAATAATACCCTAACTTGTATATACTAGATTATTCTAGTCATAATCCAACCTATATACACCATAACCTTAGATGGCATTTAATCATCTAAATATATAGCAATTTAAATATGCACCGGCAAATCAACCATGCAATTTATAAATATATCTACTTATATACTAGCAATTCAACCATGCTTTCTTAAGTATATTTACTTACACCATTAATTAGCAACTCAATCATGCTTCCCATATATGAAATTTATTCATATTTAATAAGGCAGTATATTGAAACCTTTGGCAACTCATCCATGCCAACAATTCAACCATGTATCAACCTTAAACTTAACAAGAAGTTAATCCATACGTAGACATCTCATGCATGTTACACGCATAACATTAATTTAATAATCAGTCAATCCAGATATTCTTAAATAATATATATATGTATGTATATATATATATATATATATATATATATATATATCAAATTACATATATATAACAAATATTTATATATACACACTTCCTTCCAACCAAATTATCAATTAATTATAATCACACCAAATAGATGCAATTAAATATCGTAGTAGCATCCTACAACCCTCAAACATCTAAAATATATCATCTAATGATTAATTTCAAAATTAACCAGCTTGAAATCAATCCTGGAACATCACCGGACTCCACTGGAACCTTCCGGAACATCACATGCATCCCCACGATCCCTCACGCGCCGCCACAAGTACCTCCACTTGCTGCACGCGGCCCCACGCGCAATAACACACTGGCAGGCGCGTCCACGCGCCCTCTACACTCTCGGCGCGTGTTGGCAGCCCCTCATTGGTTGTCCTCCGTGTTTTGGTGAGCCGCGATGTACCGGATCAGCTCCCATTCATCAACCACATCTAAGCCATTAATTGCCACATGTGCATCAACTTACAATGTGCCGCAATGCATTGAATCCCTCTTGTTTTAAATTTTAAAGTTTTAATGGCTCAGATCCACACACACACTAAGTTATGGTATATGAGCCACACTGAATCAAAACTCATATTTGATATGCCGATTCATGTTAATCTCCGGTACGTATATATGAACAATATATATATATATTGATACACAGAAAATATATAAATAGATTCTAAAAACATAAAATACTTCCAGAAAATTACCATAAAATCTCAAAAAATTCTAAAAAAAATCCCAAAAGCTTAGTTTAATTGTTTTGGGCCTAGTTGAAACATATAATTAAATTAAGATCTATTTAATTTAATTAATCATGCTACACAAGGTTAAAACAACCTATAAAAATTTCAAAAATATAATTTAATCAACCTAACCTTACGTACAAGATTTAAATTATTAGAACAAGACATACCCCTATTCACATGTTTAAATTCTATAATTTTATTTTTTTAAAATAAAATAAACATGTAATTTTGATACTCAAGGTGCTAAGTTTATGAATTATAAGAGGAGAAAAAGAGAAGAACTTGCCTTTCTTTTCCAAATCCGGTCTCCTTTTCCTTTGATCCGGCCTCCTCTTCGTTAGCCCTTCTTCTTCTCTCTCTAACTCTCTTATTTTGCTAACGTGGAAAAACTCCTAACCCTAAAGTCTTATGTGTCTATTTATACAAAAAAAAAAAAGAAAAAAGAACTAAATCCTTTTCCTATTATGATTACCATATTAAAGAAATAATATTTATCTTTTAAATAATATATATACACACATATATTTTAATATAAATATGTATATTACCTTCCATATACAACCTTTAGTTAAATAAGTTATATATACCTATATATCAATATTATATATATATATATATATATATATATATATATATATAATGACATATATACTCCTCCACGTGATTATTAATTAATTAAATTTATATACATATAATTATATATATATAATTATGCAAAGATAATTATTAAATATCTTCATAACCATGGGCCTCTAATAATTAATCCACAAGGATTCCTTCAAGCCCAATACCACATCCGTTGGTCCAACTTCCCTTAAACCCAATCCAAATAATTTAAATATATAAAATAATTAATCAAACACTTAAATTATTGAAAACTAATTACATGAAGCACATTCTCAAAATAAGAATTTAAAACTAAATCACACCATACCAAAAAAAACAATAATCAAGCAAACACACAAACAATCAACACACATCATCACGAAATATAATTTGATTAGAATAAGACAATTAATCTACACACGTAATAAAACAAATCATTTTTAATAAAATAAAATAAAATAAAAGCAATTACTCATAATTAAATCAAACAAATCATTTACAAAATAAAATAAAATAAATTAATTTTAATTAATAAATCCTTTTAAAATATCGGGGTATTACATAATGTTATCATCAGAACTCTCTCAAGACTCTTGAGTTCTCTATATTTAACTACTGTATTGAACGAATTATTAAATAATGAGTAATACTATAATGATGTATCTTTCAATCTAGTGGTTAAATACGAAAAACTCAAACTCTTTGTCGGGGTTCTTAAATATATGTCAATATTACAAGTGAGAGAGCGTGATATCTAAATACAAGATATAATGAAGACTCAACCAAAAAGTTTTTTTCTGTGATACCCCTCGGATCCGAGACATGGGTTGATCAGGTTTAGGCCCAAACCCGAGAGAAATATCAAACAATTAATATATAATGCGAACACAGAATACAAGATGAAATATTAAGAAATAAATAAAAATGGTTAAAAAGAACTCTAACTGAAAATCATCAAAATAAGAATATAAAATCCAACTCCAAAACCTCCAATTAATTAACAACTCTGGAAACCATCTAGTGGATCCTTAATAAAGATCCCAACTGAAATAACTGAATAACTGAAATAAGATCCAAAGCTAATAAGTAAGCAATCCTACGTAGTCGGTGGAATAGAAGTCTGTATCTGCTCTACACGACCAAGCTCTAACCCTGAAACTGACGAGCACTTGAAAAATAAAAGAGTGGGTCAGGCCCACATGCAAGTCCTGATCTACTACGATCCAAACAGGAATCCGATACGTAGATACATCCTAGATAGACTCAACAATATCTAGAGTAGTCCATATATGTATATATTACACACTATAGGACGCTCACTAGTCCAATAGGTCTGTCTCAGCCT